GGCTCGGCCACGTACCTCTACACTCCCCAGAACGGTCTCACGTGCAACCTCGCCGTGACGGAGACGTGCGCCGTCCACTGCGCGCTCTCTGAGTGGAACCAAGGCGAGTGCGCCGTGCGCGGGGACCTCGCGGGCCAGCAGACCTGGACGCGCTCCGTCATCACGGCGCCGCTCAACGGCGGTCGCCCGTGCGGTGACCTCACCAAGTACGAGCTGTGCGTCGTCAACTGCAAGCCGGGTGACACGTGGGGCGCGTGGTCCAACTGCAACGCGCAGGGCTTTTCGCGCCGCACCATCAACATCGACTACCCAGCGCAGAACGGCGGTCTCAACGATGCGTGCTTGGTTGAAGAGCAAAAGACGTGCGCTGTTGATTGTGTCATCGACCCTGTCTCGGGCGACGTCACGCAGCCGTCGCTCAACGGCGGCAAGTCGTGCTACGAGATCGCGCAAGAGCAGAGCATTCCGGGCAGCTACCCCAAGTACTCGATCACGTCGAGCGTCTCGTTCATGACGATGCTCTCGAGCAACAAGTCGTACGCGCTCGCGGCCGCGGCCACGGGCGGCGTCGGCGTCATGTTCCTCGTCGGCTTCTTCACGACGCGCCAGCGCAACGGCTACAACTCGATCGCGGGTCAGGCCTTGTAAGAGACACGGCGTCTTGCATGTGGCAACAGCCGTCATGGTGTTCGACCTACGTACGAAGAAGAAAGTGTATTTGTGAGTGACTTGCGATCTTTCTCTTGATATATCGAAAGCGATATTGGCACGGTTACGTTGATACACTTGGAGCACGGGGCAAAGTCAAATGTATCGAAGTATCAGTTTCTTGTATTGAGGTGTGAGATCGAGTCGTGGTAGCTTTGGCTCGGCTCGGCGTCGAACCGGCTGCAAATCCCAAGGCAGAGCCAACCCCAAAACCGGTTGGGTCGACATGAATCATACCTGCTGAAAGCGCGCTGGCTGGCCGAGGGCATCCTGCGCCTTCCTACGAAACGCAGGTCGTTATGGACATAGGGTTTCGAGACCGCAGCCTACTTTGCTGTACCTACGAAAGTAGACATTATCCCGCTCGATTGTCTCGATTCATCTGATCTGATACTGGGTGCTGTGAATACCCCATTCGCAAATGGATTCAAAACGGTGGAGGTCCAGTTGAATGAGATCATGGGTCAAGCACAAGATATTCCGACAAAGTGGTATAGAACCGACTAGCTCATGCTCTGTGCATCCTAGCTCCCCCAGGAGGTGCCCATGTGAATATTATGTCTTTTATATATGAACGTGTTTCACGTTGTATCTTCGTTATCATTATAATACAAAAAGACTTTGTATAGGTACCGCTACGTGGGAGTCAGCACCACTGGGTTGTAGGCAAGAACTAATATCTCTGAGTTTATCTCGTCGGCCCGTTCAGTGTATACAATGCGCGGTGAAGACGCCCATACCGGACGTGGCGGCAGACTTCGTTCTGTACAAGCTGGTAGTTTACGTTTACAAATCATGAAAGATCGGCGGCGGGTCCGTAAAGTAGCTATTGCTAGCGCCCGTCTCGCCCGGCAGCGACACCTTGCGCATCATTTCGGCCTTGCGTTTCTTCGCCTCCAAATGCGCCTTCATGCTCGACACCTGCATCGTGTTTTTCTTGCGCGTCTGGAGCTCCTGCTCCTTGTGGTGCTTGACGCTCGCAAAGAAAATGTCTTCTTCGGTCGCTTCGTCGGCCTCCCGCCGGGCAAAGATCGCATGCTGCGTGTGCCGGACGTGCTGGACGATCGCGTATGCCTCATGGAGGTGGTGCTCGATCAGAACTGCGTCCGCGTACGTGGGCCGGATGCCATGCGCAACGAGCGCGAGCTTGACATCGAGCCACACCATGCCGAGCCGGAACACCGGAAACTCCTTTGCGACCGCGAGCGTGATTTGGTCCTATCGATCATCCGTCCTCGGCCGTGGTCGTTCGATGTGTACCTCGTACGAGAGGTCGTCGGCCATGCAGGAAAAGCCGACGCTGGCGAGCACGGCGTAGATCTTGGCCCGCAAGTCGACCTTTTCCGTGGCCGTCGCGAGTCCTATCTTGTCATGTGGTTTCGATTGCATTCGATCGTGGTACGTCGATTCGGGTCCGTATTGCGGAAGCCCTTGGCGTGCGTGATGGCTTGCTTGAGCCGCAGAAAGGCCACTGGCGGCGGTGACACGGGGCGCTTTTCGGGGGCTACACCATCGACATTGGAGGACACACTCGCTTGGACATGACAATTACAGGTCGCAAGCGTCTGGTCGTCCACCAGCCCGTGGGCGAGTAGTGGGCGGTGGACGTTGGCGATGACACCGCTCGGCGGGCGGGCGACGCCCAACCGCTTCTCTTCGTCGGCGTACATGAGCAGTAGCATCTGCGACGCGCTAATGTGCTTCTTGCTCTTCCACGCGTGGTAGTACGCAGACGCTTTTGAATTGACGCAGAGCTCGGCGAGCGCGCCAAGCACTTGGCCGCACATGATGCGCGGTGCGCTACGCGTGTCCCAGTCGCAAGTCGTTCGGATGACATAGGTCGTACAGCTCCAAAAGGTCGAGCAGGTTGTCGACGCCTTCCGACTGGATGAAAGCGATCTCATTCTCGGGGTTGCCAATGATGCTCGACCAGATACAGCCGACGATGGCAACGATGAGATTGTCTTGGCGAACCGCGTCGGACGGGTTGAAGCGCATCGACTGCAGCACTACGTTGACGCCGTTCGCACGACGGAACCGCGCTTGGTTGCTTGCATGGTGCGCGCAGAGCTGGCTGCAGATCGTGACTAGAATCCATATATGAGTGCATGATGCCGATCTGTCATCGATTCGTACTGGCCGTGCGCCGAATCGAGCACGGGTGCGACGAGTCGCAGAAGAGCGCCAGCATGCCTTCGACGCCCGAGATGTCACCAATGTCTTGCTGCAGCGTCGGCGTCGTCACGACTTGCATGAGTATCAAGAGCGCAACCGCACACGCTTCCGGGTCGGTCGCCGCCTAGTCCACGACCATCTCAATTTGTACCATCAATTTATCAATTTGTCAAAAAAAATACGGTGACGAATTCGAGGATCACAACGTGGCCGTTCACGGCGATAAAGCGCTCGGGCACCAACGCCGTGAGGTTGGAGAGCACGTTGAGCGCGAGCACTTGGAGCGTCCGGCGCTGCGACGGCGTCCACTGCGTCGCGACGGCCGTGTGCGCGTCGTCCGGGCGCATCGCGACGTACATCAAAAGCACATCGACAAGCGCCGAGTCGGCGACAATTGGCACCATGGCCTCGTGCCCCGTGCAAATGTCCGAGAGGAGAATCCATAAAATGTGCTTGAGCTCGAAGTCTTCGTCGCTCGCGCTCGCAAAGTTGGTGGCTTTGGCGAGGCCAGCCAAGTGACCGGTTTCGCAGGCGGTCGCGTACGCGAGTAGCGTGTGCAGCCATTGCGAGGCTTCAAAGCACGGGATGTTGCGCCGCTTGGACGCAAGGATGTCGGCAATCATGAGGCACATGTTGCTATACCCGACGAAAATCCGCAAAACTCAGCAAAAATGAGCAAAAAAAGTACCGGAGCTCCTTGTCTTGTTTGCGGTGGCCTTGCAGAAGCAGCTGCTTGAAGAGCTTGTGGAGCACGTCAAAGGTGCGTGGCGAGCCCATGACGTGGATCGCATTCGTTGTGCGAAACGCGTGGATGAGGACACTGCGCGACACGCAGCGCTGGATGCTGGCGGTCGCCGACGCGCACGACTCGAGGACGTTCCATAGGATCTCCATGCAGAGCGGGAGGAGCTCGTCGCGGAGGTCGTGGATGCTGTCGAGGATCTCAATGATGTACGCAAGCGTCCCGGCCTGCGTGAGCGCCTGGGCGTTCGGGCCCCAGCTCGACACTTCTTGGACTAAGTCGACAAGCGGGAAGAGGAGCAGGTCCATGCGGCCGCTCGATGGATCGTCGCCTTCGTTTTCCTACAGTATCAATGTATATATATAAATGGAATGTATCAAGCATCGCAAGCAGGTGTACAAGTTGGTCGTGGACGAGCGTCTCGAGCGCAGACGCGAGTGCTGGCACGATGCCACACTTTTCCATGAGCTGCTGCGAGTAGTCGCGGGGCAATGGCCGCTGGTCGTCGAGGTTTTCGTCGACGTTGGAGCTGCTGCGCACCGAGTTGCTCAAGCCTGCAATGCCATTTTCATATTCATTTTCATTTTGAGAACGTGGGTACAGTTGCCAGTTGCAATGTTGAGCAAAGTCTCGGCGGCCGCGACCTGAATTTGAGCTTCAAACGACGTCAAGAACCGACCGAGAAGACGCGTAATGCTGTGCAGCAGCTGCGGATTCGTAAATTCTTCGTTCGACTTGGTGCGCAGGTACGGCTACGCCAGCGTTTACAAGTTGCAGCGTATGGTCGTGTACCTTGCTGCAGTGGGCCGTCCACGCACACACAGGCGCAATGAGCACATCGACACCGGCTTCAATTTTTGCGTACGCGGCTTCCAGGATCTGTGCGACCACCGGGAGGTCCGCAAGGCGAAACCTAAAGCATTTTCTCCATGCCAAATCAGCAAAAATAGCGCCGTCGTCGTACCCTTGTGGGTGGTTTAGCGTCGTGCTCTCGAGAAGTGCAACGTGGCGCGAGTGCAGGTCCGACGTCTGCTTCTCCGTCAAAGTCTCGAGGACCTTGGCAAAGTCGGCGCCGGCCTTGGCCTTCATTTCGGTTTCAATGGACCGGTTACACGGCAGGTTAAAAACACCCAACCACACGCATCCGCAGCCAGAAGGCGTATGGTCGCTGCGACGCTCCTCGATAGAAGGTTGGCACCAAACGCATGTACGCTTGAAGGTCTACGCGCCAACGTCTTTATTAGAGACAGCTATAAGTGTTCTATGCGTGTTCCATGCAGCCTCGGCCGGTCCATACCGCCGGCGCAACACTTGTCCATATATGCCCGTGGGCTTTTAGAAAAACGCATCAACATATACATGGACGTGGAGGCCATGCAATGGTGTTCGTGGCGTGGGTGGTCGCGCCAGGACGAGGTCGTGGGCCGGGGACCACGCGATGCGATCTAGTCGACGCCGTTGACGGCAACGGCAAGATGCGTGCGATTAGCCGTCCGTTTCATCACGCATGTTTTTGTGCGGAACCTCCAGAACCTAATGGGCCGGCCAACGGCCCCAAATCAATGCTACATACAAATATCTAGTACAGGTTGTATATTTTTAAACCTGGCGCTCGGCGGGCTTCGGCATCGGCCGCGCAGGTGCATACAAAATGCAAGTGCAAACCAAGCGGCGGACGTGATTGGTTAAAATGTATTTCGAGTACGCAGGTGGCGGGTGGCCGCCCTTCGATGGCAAACCAGTCATTTCAGTCAATTCCCCTGAGCATCATGAGCTTGAGTGTCCTTCGTTCGACCGCGTCGCGTCGTGCGCTCTCGTCGGCGCGCCACGCGTCCAGCCTCGCGGAAGAGCTGCCGTACCTGCCCGCGCTCCATGCGTCGCCCCTCGCCAGCGAGATTGCGGTCGGTGCCACCGGCAAGGGCCTCGGCGTGGCCTCGGCTTCGCCGGCGCACTGCACGGTTGCGACGCTCGGCGTGACGTTCAACACGGGCGCGCGCTTCGAGTCGGACAAGAACGCTGGTATCTCGCTCCTCGCGAGCAAGTTGGCGTTCCGCTCGACGGATGCCCGCTCGGACCTCGCCTTGTTCCGCGACATTGAGGCCATTGGTGGCAGCATCTCGAGCTCTGTCGGCCGTGACTATGTCAACTTGTCGATCTCGGTGACGCCCGAGCACATTGACGAGGCCGCCGCGATCCTCGCCGAGTCTGTCTTGGCCGCGCGCTGCGCCGAGTGGGACGTGTCGACGCAGAAGGCGAAGGCTGAAGTCGACATTGAGCTCCTCCGCTCGAACGCCGCCGACCTCTTGTCTGAGGGCATCCACGCTGCTGCGTTCTACGACAACCGCACGTTGGGCCGCACCGTCTTTTCGAAGAACGTCTCGGCGCTCAAGGCCAAGGACGTCCGCGCCTTCTATGACGCCAACGTGAACGCCGCCAACATGGTCCTTGTCGGCCGTGGCATCAACCAGTCGGCGTTGAACGACATTGCCAACACGCACTTCTCGGGTGTCGTCGCTGGTGACCGCACCAAGCCCGCCGCTGCCCACTACGTCGGTGGCGAGCACCGCGTCGCCGCCGCGTCGCCGGTTTCGTACGTTGCTCTCGGTTTCTCGGCCGGTGCCCTCAACACCCAGGAGAAGAGCGCTGCCCATGTCTTGGAGCACGTCCTCAAGGGCCGCATCGCCGGTGCCTCGTCGGCGTTCCGCGCCGTCTACGCCGATGCCTCCTTGCTCGGCTTGAGCGGTGTCGCCCGCCCGGACGACGCCTCGGCCCTCGTCGCCTCGTTCCTGAAGGAGTTCCAGGCGGTTGCCTCGAGCCCGCTCTCGGCCGCCGAGTTGGAAGCTGCCAAGAAGTCGTCGGGTCTCTGCTACAGCAGCTTTGTCGACACGAAGAACGGTGCGTTGACGCAGCTCGCGCGTTCGGCGTTTGCCCAGTCGGCCATCACGGAAGCCTCGACGCACGCCGCGTTGCACGCGGTCTCGGTCAAGGACGTCCAGACGCTCGCCGCGAAGCTCGTCGCGTCGAAGCCGTCGTTGGCGTCGGTCGGCGACCTCACGCACGTGCCCCGTTATGATGACATTTTGAAGAAGCTTTAAGCAAGCATAGAAATATTGTGTGGAGAGACCGACGTGTGAAGTGCCACGTCGTTTAGAGATGTCAACTTTGCAAAATGTCGTCTCCCATCGCTCTTGAGTACATCGTACAGTCGAACTCAGTGGAGAATCCATGTATCCGAGCGGAATATAGTAATTGCGCAGGGTGAAAATATAATACAGTAGCTGGCTATGTATCCAACATAATCTACGGCACCAAGCCAGGACTGCCCCAGGACTGCCCAACGAGGTGCAAGGGTAAACAAGAGACGAAGATGCGGTCGTCGCACATCGTCAACTCTTCGCATTCACGACCAATGCAAATAGTTCATGGCACTTTCTCTCGTAGTTTCGTACACCTAAAACTGAAAGGAAGCAAACCTTCGGCCAGAAAATGAATCGAGCACTGGACTGCACGGTGATCGATTCGCCTCGTCATTGTCTATTTCATGCTGCCAACAGCAACCCGAGATTGATATTTTGATCCCCTTTATGAATGAAATGGGAATTGCTACGAAAATCCTATATAGCCGAACCCTGCACCCGTCGCCGCGCTGTTCGGACCATACAGAGATTCCCGCAGCAGGTAAATGTCAACGTTAACCATCGCTTCCGCATAACCTGCCAGCGCCGGCGGCAAAGCCACGCCCCAGTACAAAGCGGCGACTGGAAAGCCTGCCCAGCGAATGGGAGTCGCGTGGTGGTCAATGCGACTTTCTACCACCGGCTGGCCACGGACGTGGAGCACAAGCACATAGCGATGGCCTCGCGTGTTCACCTTGATGCCAAACGCCACTTGCACCGACGTTCCGTCCATCCATCGAGCGAGCGTCGCGCGCAAGTCGCTCAAACTCTCATTCTTGTAGAAGATCTCCAGCACAAATGTCGGGTACGGCTGGCCGTCCCCCGCGTCCAGCACATCGCCACCAACGACGAGTCCCAACGGCGTCAACGAGTCGGTGGCTTGCTGGACGCGGCACAGACGCCGACCCGTCGCGAGTTGGACGTCGTCAAGTTGAAATCGAGTCATGTCGCGTAGCTGGTAGTCGATCGTGGTCATGGCGACGCGACGCGAGTGGTCGTGGACAAATGTGTGTTTGCTGGAGGCCAGCAGTCGCCCGACCGTTGGGTTCTCGATAAATGGCTCAAACACCCACCGATGCAGCAGCTCTTGGCCGACAATGACTGCTTCGGCCAACGAAATGTGCGGGGCGACGACGACGGGGCCCCATGACGCATCGCCGTCAGCGTCGACGAGCGGCGCCGTGTGCTCCAAGGCCGCATCGATGGCGTCGAGGTGGGCGTGGGCAGCACCCACGTCGATTCGAGGCGCCGATGCGTCCTCCTTGATCGAGAGGTTCTGGAAGGAGGTTGCTCCGAAGCTTGCCATTTGACGGTTGTCGGTTGTTGGTCGTCAATATCCCTTGTTGGTCGTTGACTTTGTGTGAGGGACGTTGCTCGTTCTAGTTTTGGACACGTGTGATTGGTGGCTTCTATTTTCAAAGCGTGGCGATTGGCCGATTGCGAATCTTTCAGCTTTTCGTCGTCGTCGATTTTAGTTCCAATGGTTGTGATTGATTGGTCGGTTGCAGATCAATCAGCCTGAATGCCAAGGATTGTACCTTGGTCACCGGTAGTAGTGCTCCAATGGGAGGCCTCGGCTGCGTAGCCTTATGAGCTTGCAGATGACAAGCTCTAGCGATCACGGAAGACTGCGCAGAAAGCTGCAGTCGATGCCATGGACATGCCAACAGTGATGCTCCGCGATGGATTTTGACCCGGGAAAATGTCAAAACGGGGTGTACGAGGGCATCGATATAACAGCAAAGGGTAAATTGAATAGAATAAAATACACAGACTTGGTTCTACTCTGTGTGGCACGCGGTTCGTCGATATTTTCACATACCCCTCTTCGTACGCCGCCTTACCCGCTAACAAGACTCCTACACGACACTCCTCGAACCTACCTCATCACTCCCACCTGAGAGTACCTTGTCAAACAACGCAAACACCCTGCCGAAAACTTGGGCGAAAGGTTATTTCTTCTCTAAATTCGTGTTTTGACGCAGCTTTTCTCAAACACACCCAGTTGTGTCATTTTTCTTTTAACCCTGGATCTGATTCCCTTCTCGGCCTTTCTGTTTCTTCTCTTGGGACAGGGCAGATCCCACAACTGGATGGGCAGCATATAGCAGCACAACTCAAATGACCGAATACTACCACAAGACCGTCGAGGCGATGGCGCACAAGCAGGCCGCGAAGGCAAGCTTTCGCAGTAAGCTACCACCGAACTTTGCCGCAGCCCTAGATCACTTGGATATGATGGAGGCGGCAGCTGTGGCTGACGCACCGTACGTCGACGACGATGGCGACGCGTCATGGGGCCCATTTGTCGTCTTCCCGCGCATCTCGATCGACGACTGTAAACTATGGTACTGGGAACACGACTTGGAGTTTCCTCGCTGGTCGTTTGAGCCGTTGGCGGACGACCCATCGTTTGGCCGCCTCGAGGTCTTCAGCGACTGCACGCTTCTGCATCAGCACACGCATCGCGTTGTGACAGCCCTGGTTCTCAACGAAATGGTACGCACCATTGCCACGGTTAACATGCACTTGTGCCTCGGTACAACGATGTCGATGGTGCCGAGCGGCTTGGGTGTGCGCGGCGACGTCCTCCACGGCGGAGAAGGCGAGCCCTATTCGACGCTTGTTCTCGATGTCTTTTGCAAGAACGAGAGCCTCGCGAGTCTGCGCGCGACGCTCGCTCGGTGGATGGACGGCACGTCGGTGCAAGTCGCCCTCGGTATCTAGATCTTTATGCGCAGCCGTCGCTACGTGCTCGTGCTCCATGTCCGGGGTCAGCCGGTTGAAGAAGTCGAGTTTGGCTTTGACAAGCCGGTGCGCGCAGGCCTCGCAGTGTCGTTCCCACTGGGCCTTATCTACAAGGGGTTGACGCGGCCCCCAGTCGAGTTGCTCGGCCACGAAGACGATTTGATCCGACTCGACTTGATGCTATTGCGCCAGCTCATCGCTCAACCCCCGTAACCCTCTTAATACGAGCTGAGCTGTACCAACAGTCGTGCTTTTACATCGCGATCCGTATTGCAATGAGCAAGATTTCTTGTCATTGAAGAGGCAAAGAAACTATATTGGTGGGAGGCACGAGTACTGTACAATTCAGGGATGGCGAGTTGCTCGATGTGTACCATTAGTGAGTTGTGACGAACGAAAGACTCCAAGACGCCATTAGGAAGTCGATCCAGTACCTACTAAGTCAACATGCAAGCTCCGACACAAGTCCTGGCCACGGGTCGATCGTCATCGTCGACAACCAGAACGTCTGCGGTATCTGCAGAAAGCAGATGATTCGTCACCGTGTCTTTCACGACCCTCGACTCTGACAAACACGGTTAGCTGCCGCTCTTGTAGCGCAAGACCAGAGGCTGCAGATGGGCAATCTTGTGTGGCTGCGAGTACGAAGTGTACCGACACATCCATCTGGGAACGATACAGAGCTTTCTTTTCATATGAGGACTCGGGACTTGGACAGTTTTGTCGGAAAAAGCCTTCTGCCACCAAGGTCCTTGACCGCATCCCCTGCTTCTACTGTCCGGATAACTGTCCTGATAACTGAGAGCTCGCGGAGCTCTTGGTACTCTCCCAGCTCTCAGCAACTCTTACTCTCTTCTCGGCTCTCAAATGCTGAGAGCTGCATTCTCTAATCGTACTGCGACGCGGGCACAGAGCGTCGCTTAAGCGGCATCGACGTCCGGCAACAGCAATTGCAGAGCTACACATGCCATCAGAATCTCAGATCTTATAGCTTGCAGCAGCTCGCACCCGCGGTTTGCGCCGCCGTCAAGGTCGTTGGGAACCGAATGTCGAACCGCACGACCAAGTCGCCACGCCTAGAGCAAGGACGACGACGGGCTACAGAGACGAACGCTTCGTCGGGTCCTACCGTTGCGGGTCGTGGCGCAGCGGCATGCCTTGGTTTGGCACACGCACAACTGCGTCTACACATGCCGAGGTGACGCCTCCTGACGACCCAACGACGTCGCCTCGTACGTGGATGCAGTACGTCCTGCGTTGTGATGGGCACCAAGTCGCCGCTGAGGTGCTCCATGTACGTCGCGACGCCCGTCAGCGCCTAGTTGCGTCGTCATGCCTGCGACGTCAACTCGATTCAAGGTACGACCTCGGCGAGTGAAATGACCATGATCGTCTCGAGGTCGTCGCCACGCCGCACAAACCTTGTCGGCGATGCCGATGGCACCTACGCGACAGGTAGGCTACGTCATAGTATGGCACGAAGCGAGCAGCACGTACGAGTCGCACAAGGACGTCTCCGGTCGCCACGTGGCGCTGTGCATCGCCGCCGCCCGTCAACAGAATCTCGTCGCCGTGCATCATGCCGGGCGCAACCGGGACGGCGATCGAAGCCGACGCGTGGTGGTGCCCGTGCCCGTGGCAAATAGGGCAGACGCGGTTCGGAAGATGGCCCGCCCCGCTGCAGCGATCGCAGCCGTGCCGAACACGATGGACGCGGTGGCCAAACCGTTGCTCGTGCACGACCATGCCGGCGCCGCCACACACGGGGCACTACGCAAATCTCATTGAATGGTGCTGGTTGACTGAGTGTCACCTTTCGGAGGCCCGCGGCCTGGTCGTACCCGTGGCCATGGCACACTGCGCACACGACTTGCTTCTCAAAGTCCACCTAATTAGCACCTTTGTCAATGCTACAAATGACGCAAGGATGATTCTACTGTTTGCACGCCGCCATGGAAGAGCGTCGCGAGATCCACTGCGACATCGAGCCGCGTCGGGCGCATCTGCCGATCTATGCATGCACGTTCGTTCGTTCTCGAGGGCCAGAGCGCGAGAGGCATGTGTGTGTTACCTGGCTGTACGAACGACGCCATGGATGTCACTTGGCTGTACAGCTGGACCATGATGAGGAGGAAGCAGACCGCGCCGCCGACGACGACACAGTGCACCCAGGACACGCCTGGCTCGGCCGTCGCCCGGCGGTGCTCGCGCAAGGCGGTAGCCCAAGCGACCGCTTCTTCGCTGCTTGTCTTCTCGGCGGGCAGGCCCGATGCAGAGCTCGGCGCCCGCACGACAAAGCTCCGGCGGCGCGTCGGCGAAGGTTCCATGGCCACCGCCCGTCGTGAATGCAATAAGGAATGATGGTCAAATGGTCAAAATGAGGGTCTGTCTATTGGAGTTACAACGTGTTGGGCTTCGAGGCCGTTGGCGTCGCCACCTTGCGCAGGCGGCGCGGCTTGCGCACCTTGGGCGGGTACACCACCTTGGGCAGCTCGTACGATTCCTTGTCCTTGGGCCACTGACCGCCCCAGTGCGACTTGCGCGCGGCGCGGTAGGCTTCTCGAACGGCGCGGCCCTTGGTCACGGCGCGGCGCTCCAGCGAGCCCTACCAAACTCATTCTCGGACTGCCTTCATCAAGCCATGAAGCGTACATTGGGATGGCACAGGTCGATGGTCACTTGGCGCGTGCTCGTCAGCGGACCGCTACGCACCGGATGCTAAGACTTCGCTCGCATATCGTTCTCGCACGCTTACCGTGTCAAGCGCGCGTGCGTCTCTTCCTCGGTGGCCGCCGAGCTGTAGCCCGCCTTCTTTTCAAGCGTGACGTACGAAAACTTCATGCTGTGGTAGCCGGTCCAGCGCTGCGGCGTCGGGAGGCGCGGCTGGGACACCTGCGGCGTCCGCTGTACAAAATGGCACCACTCGCCTTCCTTCATCGGGCACTAGAGGACACACACGACATGTCATCGTGCGTAGTCCACTATAAGGAGTCATCGCATTTGACTACCTCTTTGGCGTGCGGGCACGGGCCGAGGATGCGACCGCCTTCGACGTGCGGCACCGCGTCGTCGGACGTAATCACTTCTTCTTGGTTGGTCGTAAGCGAGTCGAGCACAAACTGCCGCGCCGAGCGCACTTGAAGCGAGCCCCACGAGTTGCCTAGAGTCGTATTTAGATGCTTCCATTGGTATACGCATGATGACGCACCGCGGTCGACGATGACGAGCCGGCCGCCATCCGCGAGCAGGCTCCACAAGGTCGAGACGATCGCGATGCGCTCGACGTCGTTGGTGATGTCGCTGAGCACAAAGCTGAGCGTAATGAGGTCGTACGTCTTGCCCTTCTCGATCTCGCGCTTCATTTCCCCGAGGCTCTTGCGGAACGAGAGGCCGCGGAAGCCTTCCATCGTCACCTGCGCCGCATCCAGCATGCTCTGGCTCGGCTCAATGATGCGGTATTCGTTGATCGAGTCGCCGTAAAACTGCTTGGCGACCCATGCCGCCGTACCTGGCCCGCCGCCAAAGTCCAAGAGGCTCTTGGGCGCAAACGCGGCTTGGTCCTTGTCCTGGTCCTTGTCGTCGTCACGGAAGCTCACGGCCGGCTTGGCCATCTGCCGAAAGACGTGGTGCACGGACGAGTAGACGCCGTCCATCTCGTGGGCCATGTACGCGAGCGTCTCTTGCGGACCATAGGCAAAGGCCGGGATCTTGGGCTTCTTGGACATTTCCCAACCGACTTGTTCGTTGTGGGCGTCACGCGGGAAGCGCTTCGCCTGCTTACCGAGCGTGATGGTTTCTTTGAGCTGCACAAGCTGCACGTGCGTGCGCTCCTTGAGCAGCGACGAGACGCGTTGGCGAAGGAGCTCGGGCAGGAAGTGCGTCATGTTGAGCTGCACGTTGGCGAGCGCCGACGTCTTGGCGCCGATCTCTTCGGCACGGCTAAGAATGCTTAGCGTCTCCTTGCCTGTCGCCAGCGCCTCCTTTGCCGAGCTCCAGAAGGCCCGGCGCGGCAGTAGCAGCATCGTCGTCGTCGACCGGCGAAGCATCTTGCTGCTGATCTTTCTGTTGCCCTTGATGGCACCTCGAAGCATCGGGCTCAATTCATTGGACAAGAGCTCGGTGAGTATTATTATTGTCATTTCGACGCTTTATACTGACTATTTGTATTGCATATTTAGTGTTGGTATTTTATTTAGTGTTGGTATTTTACGACGCGCGGGGAATTTTAATATATTATACTATTCACGTTGATATGAATAGTGTTACAACTGGTATAGTGTGTGTATGCCTGGCCATGCTTGATCTTGATGAGCTTGATGAGTCCCCGTGGATTCGCAGAGTGCAGACAGTCGAAAGCAGAGGCGTCCATCTCTACCGACGAGTCACGCTTGCACCGCCAACGCTCATAGTCGACGGAAACAAGGGAACCGATCTCTCGTTCGAATCTGCATAGAAACCTCAAACCAGCTCCTGATCATGGATGCGAGCTCGGGCTGCACCATACTCGTCACAATACCAAACCATCACACCATGGAGCTGGCCTTGGCAACTTCTCGCAAGCGATCATTAGCGTCTCGTTGTAGTTGATCGTCGTGTGATTACATTTACTGTGCTGGCACAATGCCATAAATTACTGCCCGTACTTCACTGTGCCCTTCGATCGGGCTCATCAATCGTACGAAATGCCAATGCCGTAGTTCTTCATGCGGTCGTGGTGCCAACCCTTGAGGTTCATGTGCAGATGCTCGCGGAGGCCCATTTTGGTGCGCCCGGCATGTTCGCGCGCCGTGTCGAAGAAGGATGCGATCATTTGGAGGAAGAGGCAGTCGTTGGACCACGCGGTGGCGTCGACCGTGCGGAGACCGCGCATGAGGTCGTCTAAGAAGGCGCTGACGTTGCTGAGACGCGAGACGAGCGTGCCGGCCAATTGAAAGCCAAAGAGGCTAAACGACGAGAGCGGGTGGTTCATCAAGTGGCTCGTCGCGAGGCTACCAAACGTGCAGTGGTCGCCGCGGCACGTACAGAGCCCATTTGTCTTGAGCACGCGGAGCAGATTGCGCCGGAACTCGCGCAGCTCGGCGTACGTTTTTGCTGTGTAATGGCGGCGCACTTGGCCGTCGGGCCCGACCGCGACACCCAGCACATACTGGAGCGTGCGCGCGCCGGTTTGGTGCGAGAAAGTCACCGAGAGCGCGTGAAGCTCGGTCGCGTCAAAGGGCCGCGAGGGCCCAAAGCGCGTGAGGCTGGCGCCAAGCCCGCCGGTCTCTAGCAGCGTCGTCGTTGGCATGCTCCTCGCAAAATGCCGATTGAAGCCGGCACCTCAAGGCGTGACTAGCGGCGCGGCTGTCCATACAAACTGCAAGTGCAATGCGCGTGGCGTGTCACGTGGCCGGCTGGTCCGATCGCGTTTAAAGCGAGCTTTGTATTGGAAGCCGGCGCATTAGTCACGGTCCCTTTTTGTGGACAAGTCGCAAGCTGCTGTTTCGGTGCTGCGAATCACACGCGTCTTAGCTAATAGGTAACATGAATTAAATAACATGCTGGAAAACACGCCACGCAATCGCCCAAATCGGCGATGTGCACTTGGAATGGGCGAGTGGGCCAAAAGCCATTTGCTTAATTGAAACTTTATAACCTTTGAAAAGAAATACGGATCCCGCCGATCAATTGCCAAAGGGTCGGGTTTCGCATTCTATTGCCTCGGGGCGCTCCAGGCCGCGAGATCGGCGCTGTGCCGCTGCTGCAGAGGCAGCTAGCCGTTGCCAACGGAAGGCCTACTCGGGGTATCAAATCGAGCCCTCCGCGCACAAACCACTGGACTGCGCAGACGGATGCATTGCGGGCGCCGAATGCCAACGAGAGATTGCAGCCGCCGCTATCTACGCGGCCGAGCTCCAGCCTCAACTGCGGAGCTGCTTCGTTTGGCTGCTCGATGTTGGAGCCGACCGATGCGATGTAGGCGTGCATGTGTGGCCACTATGCGTTTGTGCGATGAAGCAACAAGGGTTACTTCATGTTAAGCGTAATGTAAAGCGCGTATGAAGCTATGAATTCGTGTAGTCGACACAGAGAACGCACTCGTAGGAGCGTGTCGTATATTGTGCAGTTGCGCCTGCCGCCGTCGGTCTTGCTGCAGTAGCCGTCGCGGTGAGGAGCGACCCGCCCTGAAGCAGGCACGTGTAGCAGGCGAGGTCTTGGGCCACCGTCGCGGTACAAAGTTGAACGGACTGGAAGATGAGCCGGGCGCGCCGCCGACGAGACGACGACCAGGAGGTCTAGTCGCGCGGACCGATGACGAGGCAGTCGTGTGGGGCGTGTCGAGCTAGGCGCTCGACGAGCTGGGCGCGTGGGCATGACGAGGCGAGAGCGCATTGGTTGAGGCGAGCGCGTGGAGGGCGAGGCGAGAGCGCATTGGTTGAGGCGAGCGCGTGGAGGGCGAGGCGTGAGCGAGGGACGTACGCGTCTGCTCACGTCGTTGTTGGTGGGGACAGCGCCGTGCTCGTCGCGCTTGGCATCGCGACGGTTGGGAGCACAAATTAGAATGACACGGCGGTTGTGTGGTTGGACCCTCACCATACTGAAACCAAGTTGTTTGGCCCAAGTTCCTACTCGCTAGCTACGCTGCCGATTGGCTGCTTGGGACGTATTTCACTCTTTTTGTCCAATGAACGCACGTACAATTGAAGGTGCCGCTGCAGTTTCATTGGGCGGCACCTAGAATTCAGGGAGGTGATTGGGCGCCTCCACTTTTGGAGGCCAATGGTAAGATTGCGTCATCAGCTCTTGATCCATGCATTGCCCCTTGCCGCTTCGCACACTGCACCGGAATAAAACGATGATAAAATAGGATCCAGGATCTTTTCCCTCTCTCTTCTTTTTCGGCT